ATATATATATATATTTATCATATATATGATATCCAGCGTTTTTAGCTGTAAATGCTGAGAGCTGCAAAACTCCTGTAACTGCTGAGAACTACTGACCCAAGTTATTAAGAAATAATAATAAAAAAATCAATCCTCAATTTTCATAAGAAGAAATAATTTGAGGTTAAAGTGATTACATCCAGCAGCATTAAACTTTTGATGAAATCTAATAACTTAGACAAATTAATATATGAGAAGACTCAGATTCCAGCTGTAATAAACTGTCAAAATTTATTGATCTCAACACTGCAATTTTGTACTGCAGGGCCAAGTTCTTTAATTATATTGTATATATTGGATAATGCAGTTACTGTTCTTGTATGCAACACCAGTGTGGCAACACCTCACTTCAAAACAAAAGGTTTCAGACACTTTAAGAGAGTAGAGCACATTTTACCTCTTTGGCTTTTTGTAACTTGAGACAAATAATTCTGTCACACATTTTTGTAGCCACTGAGCACTTGTGAATGTGTTTTCCTTATACGCATCACTCAAAGCACTTGGACACATCCCAAAAGCTTAGAAATTTTATATTAAGTCCTCTTCCCTATTAAGTGGGAGCCACACAGCTTTGTGCAAGAGATGCTCTGTTCTGTACACCTTAGAAAGCTAACAAATGCACTTAAACTATACACTAATAATCTGCTTCTGACAGGCTGAGTAGAAATGGGCAACCCGCTCTTCATGTTGCAGGGCAGAATACAACTAAGTCTTAGTATTATGAAATGTCTATGTGCAAATAATAAACAAGTCAGAAATTTAAGCCTTTCGGCTGCCACAGTGCAGAGGGCCCTTTTTTTCCCAGAACATGTGGGGTCTTGAGTCCAGACTCTTTGAAGAATAAGAAAAAATAGTTATGTATCTATCTCCTGTATAATTCCCATGATTTGAGTCTAGTCCAGTAATTATTTTGTACAAACAATCCCATCAGCACTGAGGAGCTATTTTAAACCTGTTTCATGGTTTCACAGCCAGCTCAGTGAAGGAATTGGTTCTGAATCCTCACCATGAGCCCAGAGTTGTACCCATCAAATGCACTTTTCTTCTTCCCCCCCTGCACCTCATCAAAGGGCTTGCACCACCATGGTACCAGTCTCAGCAGTAACTGACCTTTCTGCTGAATATAAAGGGCTTGCCAATTAGGAAGGTGGATTTTGCAATGAACTTTTTTCACATCAGTTTCTTTTGAACACAGGTGGGATGGTGGTAATGATTTAGTTGCCGCAGCTCTGAATTTTTATATGGCAGAATGACCTAGATAGTTCAGGTTAGAGTCCCTGTATCATTCTGTCTCCTTCATCTCTTTCCGCTGGAAAAAGAGCACTCTTTTTGCAGGGATGGGGTTTGGGTTGTTTGGTTTTTTTTACTGTCAGGAAATACACAAATGATCAAATGAAGGACACAAGCCAGAAAGTGCCAGTTACACTATTGGGTACATATTATTAACCCCAAATTGCTTAGGCTATGGAGTTTTACACTCAAGACTGGATATGCTTAAATCAAGGCGGTAAGGCAATGTCCCGCTGACTCACAGTTCCAGCTAAACACTTAACATTTGTGATGTTACATGGGAAAAGGATCAGGGAAAGGAAAGAGAGAATCACAAGAAGCTGTTAAAATCTTTCCATCTATTTAAATATACCTATTGTGTTCCTTTTAGGCTTACCATGAATTGCTAGAGAAGCATCGGCAAGCAGAGTGGCAACTGGAGGAGGAGGAGGACTGCGAGAGCACAGAGGCTATTGCAGATCTCTACAAGGTACCATCTCCAGTGATATATGTCATTTAATAATATTAATTCTGAAGATCCTCTAACCCCACTATACAGTGTCAGGCCTCGGGAAGGATTGAGAAATTGCAGGGGAGATCATGGTGGCTCTGGGAAACCTAGAGACAGCATGGTCATCCACATTAGCTTGCCTTTTCCATGATCTTCCTAACACTACATTTCCTAACCTCATGGTGGCTGACAAGGCTGCAGTAACACTGAGAGCATATGTGTCTGGCATTACATTAGCAGGAAAGAAACTTCAGTTATGTAGCATAATTATCTCCTCTGCACTGTGGTAGGGTGATACTATTAGTTAACTTCACTTGTCTCCAGAAATAGATTTCTCATTTCTCTTCCTCTCAGAGAAGTTGTTTTGATGCTAGTTAGTTCACTGAAGTAAGTTCAGATCTTTGGTGTAAGTAATATTTTTACACTTCTTTATGTTACCAATTTGGAAAATATGTAAATGCTTCATACTTTTGCACCATGTTAAATTATTTTCTGTCTGTACTGAAAATATGAGATAACGTGGTCTATCTCATGAAGCCCAAAACCAGCCAGCGGTGACCTTTAATTAGGCTGGAACTAATAACTTTCAGCTCAATAGGATCCTTGTCATGATTAATTATGACCAGATCAGGGTGTTACGGAAACTTGTAGTTCCTATTATATTAGGATAAGATACCCACACAGTCTTAATTAGCACTAGACCAAATACACTTTTTCAAATTCAGTTGATAAAAAAATCACAGCCACTGTATTTAGAACAACTAGTTTTGCCATGGTTTTATGTAATAATGCAAGCAACAGGATGTTTGATAAGCACTATTCCTTTGGAGAAAGGAAAAGTTTGCTTGCATGGCTATGCCAGTGAATCAGAGTAGATTAATTGTACAAAGCTATATAATTTAAGAAGAGCCATCAAGTCTGCTGATACTGCTATGCGCAGTCCATTCTCCAGAGTTACTACCTTATCCATCTACTTCTCAGTTCACATGAAGTTTCTGGAAACCAAACAATTTTTTCTTTTTTTTTTTTTACCCTGTGCAGTTCCACCTCATTTGTGAAATTATAGTGCTTTCCTTTATTGTGTACTTTGCTTTAGTGACATTAAGATCAGACCAAAAATCTTATTCCTTTCAGCACTGTTAGCTAAGTTTTCTTTTCCATTAAAGAAAAATTGGTTTGGGTGAATTAAGTGTTCATAGAATTGCCAAGTTGCCAGGAGAGCTGCACAAACTTGAACCCTGCCAATTCACCCAGTTCTAAGCCATTATATTCCATATTACAGCTGCTCTCTTATTCCTAGATCCAAACAAACACTGCCGGACATGAAAAACTGCAAGTACTGTGATCCAACTGGCATCTGTTGAATGAGGGCCCACAAATCTTAATTCACACCTTTTTTCCCGTAATAAAGCATTTTTGTTGTTACATTTAACACAAAGAACAACTGCACTTTCTCCCCTTAACCCTAAATACAGTTATTACAGACTGTTTTAGGAGAGCAGGCTGCTTCTGAGTATACCTTGTAAGCAGCATAAGCTAGAAAGAAGAGGAAATACAAATAAGCATATCCCTACTGTAGGTAAATGGAGCTGTTCTGACTTTCACAGCTGAAGTAAGTGCAGTAGGTATACATATGTTGTCCATTACGTGGGACATAAACGCAAAAGTAGATTTGCCATTAAGGTAGGGGGTTGCATTTTACAACCACAATGGCTTTGCTTCTCTCTCTGCTCCACCACACTTTCAGAGCAGAAGTGCATCTTGGACAAACCATAGTTGGGTTTTTTGTTTTGTTTTGTTTTGTTCCGTATCCAAGCCCTCTCAAGTTGTTTGGGCATCATCAGTATTGCAATTTATCAGATAAACACCAATATCCTAGTAAAGAACAGCCATGTTGGTTCAAACAAATGACCGTTTGGAGTAATATCCCATAAGTTCATGTACTGATGTTGGAGAGATGCATAATACTCACTTAGCTAGAGTTAGGTCCCATCCTCAGGTGTCCCTTCAGATAAGAGCAGTTACTAGCAGCTTTCAAAACAACTGTCTTGGAGCATACAGGTGCCTCCATCCTATATCAACTTTCTAAACCATACGCCCCCATGTAAGTACTGTAGCAAAACTCACACTGTAGATGAGAAGCTAGAATTTCTTGCACTTCTGGACTGCACTCTTCACAAACTCACTGAACCAAGCACAGAAGCCCAAGTGCTCAGCCCTTGCCCTAAGCTCATGGTTCTTATCTGCTGTAGGTGAAGGCCATTAAACCTTTCTCTTTTTGTTGCTTTTCTTTTTCTTTTTTTCTTTCAGGGGAAAGGGACCTGGCAAGGTTTTACGTGTGATAAAGGCTTGTATGTGATAAAAAGTGTAAACTCTCCATTCCTCCATCAGTTGTGTGCACTAGAATGATGACGTATTTCAACAGTTATCTTGGTTTGTCCTAGCATAAGGAAGCAGGGAAGCAAGCCTGACAGACTTAGTTTCATGAATAAGTAGAAAGATAACCTGAATGCAAGAGGTGATATTAAAATATAAGGAGAAGGTCACCTTCTGACCAAATAGGGAGTCAGTGAATATCCTGGGGACAGAAAAAAGGATGTCACTTACTTGTAAGTGCCACTCACTTGTGGGAGAAGATCCTTATCTTCTTCTCACATTTTATAGTTCTTCTAAGCCCTTCTCAAATTTTTAGGTCTTTGTTATTTTCATGTTTTCCCTTTTTACATAGTTTGTGAGTTCATCAAAATGGATTTATATAACCCTTTAGCCCTGCAGGCTACAGTACATAAAAAAAATATCCAAATTGGTGAATAAGTATGTAAAAATGCAATGATGTGGAAGCTGACTATGTTTGCATAGAATAATTGAGTAGTTTTGTTTCATGTACACATGAATAAATCAATTAAAATTATTTGGAATGGAATCTGTTGATGCCTGAAGTGGATGAATGAGTTATATTTGAATGATAGCATAGGACTTTTCAGACACACTAGTGGAGTAAAATAGTCCACTGTAGGGGAATAGTCTGTCTAGACATAGGCTCCATAACTAATTTGAAGAACTTATTTTGAAGTTCAGGAGAGAGGGGGGAAGAGATTTTGATTATCATAGTGTATCATAACTGAAGGAGGACTTTTGTCAGAGGTAATTGAATGGCTCAGCCTAATATTTTCGTAAATACAGTCTGCGGAGTTACCCTGTGCAAAAGGGATATTGTGCTGCAGTAACGGTTCTGTGCCAGGTTGGGTAGTTTTTCAATTGCAAAGTTTTTACTGTAGTTTTCTTTCAGGTGGCAGCAAAAGCACCCCCATGATATAGCCTGTTCTGTTTCTCTTTTCTTACGATGTCTTGCAAAGATTAATGTCTAGCTCCTTCCAAGTCTGTCTCAAGTTTAGCAAATCAGATGTTCAACATTTAATATTTCATTCTCCTTTTTTTCTTTTTGTGAGCTACCTACTTACTCAGCAGGGAAAGGAGAAGTGAAATGAGGTTAGTGGTTAACAGTTCATTATTAAGAAAACAGACATGCAGATTGCACAAAGTAAATCAATTAACAGTTGAGAACTACATAGTCCATGGTAAGATAATTATTTTTCTTCAGCTTTAACATCAAAACTATAAACCCCAGATGATTTACTGTCATTTATATTTCCCCTTTGCTGATAGCAGTCCACCAGAATTTTATTTCATTTGACTTGACAGAACACAGAAATGCACAGGAATTTAGACTAAAAGCTATTAAGTAATAAGTATTATCAACAGGCAAGGCAATAAACATTTTGTGAATGGATAAACATGAATGTGAGGTTGAAGCAAAGTATTTGATTTTTTCCTTTATTAATAAAAGGGGAAAACTAACATCTGTTGAAAGAAAAAGTACAGATTCTCAGAGACTTACTCTTTCATTACTTTCCTTATGTAATTTCATTAACAAGAGAGGTGGTTAGAGATGATTTTAAGTAGAGTGGGCTGTATTTTTGGGTACTGAGAGCTAGCTTCTTTTCCAGGTAAATCCCTCACAGCTTGTCTCAGGTGGAAATCTGTATCAAGAGAACTGAAAGAAAGAGCAAGTTTGTGAACTCTTTCCATGCAAACTCAGTCTAGTTCTGGTTTTGGGCACCAGTTAAGTTTGATCTGGTTGTTTCAGTCAAAGCTGATACACGATGCCTGGTATGGATGGCCTTCGTTCTGAACTTTGCTTCTTCCCTTACTGCATAAGAAAACCTATTTTACCTCTGTATGGATTCACAATTTAATATTTAGATCTAGTAAAGGTCATAACCTTTTCTACAAAAGGCACATTTCTAAGAAGGAAATATGGAAAGAGAAGATTGAAACTGCTTCCTGAATAAATCAGGACTAAAATTTCAGTGGACCTCTATTTTAAATGCTTGGAAATACAATTTTTTAATTCTATTTTTCTTTAAGTATTAGCATGTCCTAAGGATGACTTCAATGTCATTGTGTTTTATCAGTGCTAGGATACTTAGAAGCAGGCTCCTATTTTCATTTCCAGTTAGCATTCCAGAATTCTTCACACGGAAGAGAGGAATCAGTACATGTAATCAGCTTTGTTTTATTTCATCTGAGTTTATAATGTGAAGCATCTTCCAGTGGCCAGTGGTGTCCAAGAACATTTGGAGTATTTGTGGGATGTATGACCAGAGTATTGAGTCTCTGTTCATAATAAGATACAATATGGTTTGAGAGATTAATCTCTTACTTCCTAAGCAAGTGTCTTAGCCCATTGAGCTTCTGGAGGTACAAGCAACAGTGTTCTGTAGCTTTAAGCAGAAATCTTAAATATTTTAATGAAATACTGATGTATCACAAGTTAACAAATAGCTATTCACAATTTTACTATTCACTGTAATCTCATCTGCATGTAAGAACATTTTAATCATTTGGGTTTGAGGGAGAGCATTAATCTTGTTCTTCAGTTTTGTAGTGAAATCTGAAAACTGTGTATTTGCCCTGGTTTTTGACAAAATTATGTATCTATCACCTTGTTTGAAATTCAGATGCACTCAGCATTTTAATCTAAGCCCATTTTATTTCTGCATATACCCCATCGTATTTCTTTATGCTTGATGAATTCCTCTGGAGATTTTTTGAAAAGCTTTGAGATTGACTGCCAGGTATTACAAACAGGTTCATTCAACACTGCAATCAGCTATTCTATTAATGGAATCAATTTGAATAAATTTTTTTAAGTCAAAGTTCTAAAACCAAGAGATGGCATATCAGGAAGCTTGTAAGAACTATTTTGTAGTGGTTCTAGTCCAAAAATAACATCTTGGAAGCAGTAGGATTTCTTGATGGTTTTCTTTTTTACCTGTGGAAAATAAGCTTTATAACATGTAGTGCACTGTCCCTGTTCACAGAGAGACTTCATTGCTGTTTCACATCAAGTACATTCCTGAGACTAGAAGTAGTTTTGAACTATTTTGTTATCTTGAGTAGAACTCAATCACATCTGCAGTCTTTCCTAAATGTAGATCTACCATTTTCCCTACCAAATTTTAAAAGCCTGTTCCAGTCTGTTTTTTCTGGTGCTGGATTAAACAGTATGGCCATCATACCGGACCTGTGGTATGTCCTCTGGGTCGAGCATGGTGTCATGTTAGAGTCTGGCTTGCAAGGACTACCTGGGGTCTAATGTCTGTATGATTAATGTGTTCAGATTTAAGAAGCCAACAGTCAGTAGTTCCTTGAACACTGAGAAGTTAGTGTTTTGATAGTCATTACTGACAGTGGTTTACTTTGTGATCCTGGAGCACAGATGAGGCCAGTAAGTGCAGGATTTGTCCTGCGCAGAGGAGACTTCCTAACAGAATATATACGGAAAGTGTTAAAAATCACCATCCCAGGACTTAAAGCACCTGACCAAGCTTCCTATTGCTTTCACTGCCAGTTTGCAACGTTGATGAGATGTAGAGAACACACTGCTTAGTCCAGCTTCACCTGCATGTATTCATCCATTTTCATTTTTAATGGGACTACTGATGTGAAAACCTGCCGCTGGAATCCTAATCCCAATTCCTTGTCCTTTCATACACCGCTTTCAGCAGAGGGACATGAAGTATTTTGCTAATAAATAGTTAGGCAACTTTGATCTAGAGGTAACTTGGCCCATTACATTAAGGAGGTGATGCAGGTGAGTTATTTTTTGAGAGCAAGACCTAGTTATGTTTTTCCTGGGTAACTACATACCCGCTCTGATAGTGCTGAAGGTGGGTATACAGTGTAATTTGAAGCTGCAGGGAGTGCAAGCAGAGCTATCCACTTGGTCTTTGGACAAAATGGCATGAAGGCAAGTAACAAAATACCTTTTTTATGTTCTGTGCAAAAGACTTTCTAGTAAATAATACAGAACTGTCAGCATGCCTGAGAAGTGCTATCAGTTCTTCAGCAAAATATGTTGCAAAGTGATTTAGCTGCCATAAGTGGAACTCTGTTTAAGAGTAGAGTTCCTTAACACCCTGCCTGAGATCTTTTGAGATTGCAATAGAAATACCGCAGACTCCTTTAGACTGCTTCTGAACTGTGTCAGACCCGAGAGAAATTTTTATAGCCCTGAACACCCACTAAATGCAGGAGAATTAACTTGTCCTGAAAGGCTAGTAAAGCTCAGAGAAGAGATAGTTTACAGAGATAGAGTGATTGTTCTTTAGATGTTGTATAGGATACAGAGGTTAGAAACGTATGATCTTTGATCACAGAACCATAAACTCAACTAAGTTTGAAAAGACCTTTAAGATCATCAAGTCCAACCATTACCTCAGGACTGCCACTAAAGCATATCACTGAGGGCCTTATTTACACGGTTTTTGAACACTTCCAGGAACGGTGATTCCACTACTTCTCTGGGCAGCCTGTTCCAATGCCTGAGCACGTGCTCTGTGAAGAAATTTTTCCTAATATCCAATCTAAACACCTCCCTTGGTGCAGGTTGAGGCTGTTACCTCTTGTTCTGTCACTTGGTACTTGCGTGAAGAGACCAGCCACCTCCTCTCTCCATCCTCCTTTCAGGTAGTTGTAGAAAGCAGTAAGGTCCCCCCTGAGCCTTTTCTTCTCTAGACTAAACAAACCCAAGTCCCTCAGCTGTTCCTCATGAGACTTGTGCTCCAGACCCTTCACCAACTCCATTGCCCTTCTCTGGACACACTACAGCACCTTAATGTCTTTCTTGTAGTGAGAACGTCTTTCTTGTAGTGAAGATCTTGATCTTGTGTTAAATGCCAGAATTTGGAGTTGTGAATTTTAAAAGAAACAGCAGCAGAAGAGAGAATTCAAACAGAGTATTAACAGGTTTGCGTAAGTATTGGCAAGCTAAGCCAGACCCACAACTACACAAATTATTAAGATGGTAAAAATCCTGCTTCTTGTGGTAACAGTAACTGGTAACTGTAATAATAAAGGAGTAGGGGAGATTCATCCTTCAGCATAGGATGCACCTGTGTAGCTAACATTACCCTAATGGTACTGTCATGTGCAGATTGCCAGCAATTGCTGGAAATGGGAGAAGTGTTCCCAGAAATGAGATATCCAATTGTTAGGTCTTTGTCTATTTCTTATATTTGGTACCCAGTTTCGGAAACCAGTAGCCTAATTTACAAGAATTCAGAACATTTTGAGATTAAACAAAGCCAGTGGGAGCTGGATTCTGAAAATCCTGTGTGCTTTAAACAGGTAAGAGAGTGGAGAAAATCAAGACAGCCGATCTTGAAGGTGCAGTGAATGCTTTTGATAGTAGGGTGCCTCGGTTTTATCCAGAAGAAGAGGATGCTGCAGGAAGCAATTAAGCTAAGCTATTTATTGTTTGTGAAACGGCTAATTAATATGGTGATTAGCATCCTAGAGGGATCCTAGGAGAAAAATAATAATTTAGTATTCAGTGCACAGTTTGGATATTTTACAATAAATGAGAAATACAAAAGAAAGGGTTTTTTTTTAAATCTATCCATTCAATAGGTATAGATAAATCTAAACACAAAATAGATAAAGATCCTGTGGAAACAGTATCATTTATTATTATGGAGGTGAAAAACTCACATGCAGCCTAAGTTCTGGGGGCGAAGGGTCTTATTTTCTTTTTTATGACAAAACATCTAGCAGTTGGAGTGGTCTCTTACACAGTAGTATATTATACCAGTGTATTTCCCCAGAAAAGACAAGTCCACTACAACTTTTCATGTCTATGAGCTGCAGACAAATGTTTTTGACATCCAGATAAATATCTCTTTGAGAGGTTCTAGATTTTGATCACTGATGAGAGTGTAATTAAAACTGTATTTAAAAGAAGGCAACAGCTAGAAGCCTTGACTTGTTCTTGCAACAGGAATGCTGTATTTTAAGGAAAAGAAAGAAATATAAGTGTTTTCAAGAGGGCTAACAGTGATTTACAATGAAAAGAAAACCAAGTAGGCAATAAAGCTTTTTGGACTGATAAGGTCATGTGGAGCTCATACAAAAATAGCTCTTCATACTGCTGGAGTACCGCAGTGTCCGTGTGACCTTTCCAATGTGTTTTTGTTTTCTTTTTTCCGCTGGGGAAAGCTGCCTGTCTTTACTCCTTCTCCTCAGGGATTATATCAAATTGTAGCAAGTTTGCAAACACAACTCATATCATCACTGTGTATTTGACAGTGAAATTATGTGTTCTGAATAGACTTCTTAGCTTGGATGACGTCTGACTAAATCACCCACACTCTTCTTGTGAGCAAAACAGCCTCAGCAATTGAAAACTGCTCATATGAGACTAGTTTTAATAAAACCACCAGAGGATGTTTGTTTTTCTAGGCTTGAACCTGTTCTGCATCAGGAGGAATTTGAATAATTCTGTCCTTCAGGCATTGAAGAGTGTCATATTCTGGAGCACCAACTGTTAGCATGACTAATGTCAGTTTTGCCTAACTAGAAGCTGTACTGTCCCTTTTAACTCGTCCTTCTTTCTTACCTTTATTCATTTCATGTCAGTGACTTTGAAAATGTGTTGTGCTACACTGGATTGTTTCCACAACAACTTTCAAAGTAAGTGTTTTTGTAACACATTGCTGTAGCCAGTAAAACGAGATACTCCTTGCACTGCAGCTGCATGTGAGCAACAGTTCAGATTCAAGGTCTTATGTGCTCATGCCACTATTGCATTTTAAATGATGACATGTGCCTTAAACCAAAACATTTGAGTTGTTCCATCTACAAAACCTGGTCTTTTTAACTCAAGCATTACTGGCTTTGGATTTTAATTCTAAGGGTCAGTCACTGCCCCACTGTCCTTACTGAGACATGGTTCCCCTATTGGCATCTTGGAGACATGAAATGAAACAGCCCCAAAAGGCCAGGGGTTCACTCTGTCACGTGTCTCTCTCTGTCCCTTTTTGTCCCTCTGTTAGGAGCTGTACTCTAAAGCTTCCCATGCTTTAGTGGAGTTAGTGACGGAGCTGTTTCTTAAGACCTTGCCTTTTGTGACCGGCCTCTCTGTAAGAGAGTGTGAGCTTCTGAAAGAGGAATGGCAGGAGAATTTGGTTCCTCAGCTGGAGAAATGGGAAACCCACTGCCAGAGACGCTGGAAGCTCTTCCAGGAACAGATCCTGCAAGAAAAACAAGTAAGACCTTTATTATGTTCTGGGACCCCAGGGTCTAAAACCTGAGATACAGAAAAAAACTATCAAGATATCTATCTGTGGGAAAACATTTTGTGTATAAATATACAGCTCACATCCAGACGTGGGATGGGCAGTTTGACATGCAGTGTGGGGTGAACATACGTGCTGTACATGTGGACTTGCATAGAGGAGTCAGAGAGTAATTGCTGAACATCTGTCCACAGTGTTTGATGGTTCTGTCAGCACATAAACATTTTTTGGCAAGGCTGCTGTACTATGTCCTCTACTCTTCATCATTGCCAGAAACAGCTAAAAAAACCCTTCATCTGGTCTATTTGGAGAGGTTATATATAAGCACAGTTTAAAGGAGTGGAGGCTGCACAATGATTAATATTTCTTAATCATTTTTATGTATTAATACTGCACTGATTGGAAACATATGATACATACTGTATCTTTACTCTGAGAAGGTAAAGGAACACGTATCTAGCTTTCCTGCTGTTTGTGCCCAGCATAGAAGGCATTGACACTGAAAGAGAAAAGGAAGAGTAGATGCGAAGCTATGCTATGCTATGCTATGCTATGCTATTCATATGCAACAACAGTAAATTCTATTGTACGATAAATGTGGAGGCAGGTGTCTTCAGCATTAGGCTGGAACTCATACATACTTTCAGTTTATTCATGCAGAGCTGTGTCACTATTAAGACTACTGTGAAGACTAACACAGCTTAGTCAAAGAAAGACCTCTACACAAAGGTGTGCCTCTTCATAAAGTGTGATGTGATGTATAGAGTGGTTGGAGCTTCTTAAATAAAAGGTTGTCAGAGTTCTTTAACACTGGCAAAATCATACTTTTCCCTACCCTCATTCTTCACAGTGCCTGAACTATCCAGTGCATGGTTAATAAGGTACTGATTGTGTCCCTAATTATTACAGACTGCTGTAAGGTGTTTTAAGTCTTCCACCCACTCATATTTAGAGTTCTTCCATTAAATCCTGTGATTCAGGAAACTCTGGGCTTCCTACTAACTTTGGTAGAGTAGTTTCCTGACTGGGGCTTTCAGAAAACCCATGGGAATACAAAAGCAGAATTATTCATTGGAGATTCTTAGCTATTTCCTTTTTTTTTCTTCTTTCTTCTATTTTTCTTAATCTGGAGTTAGGCAACATGCACATCACATCATTTTATGTTTACTTTATTGTAATTCACCTGTTATCTCAAATATTTTAGAAAGCAATTCTACTTGCTTCTGTTTCTGTGTCACAGGGATATCTAGCAAACTAAACTAAAAAATGCTTCTGACCAACTGCTGATGCTGCTCAGTCTGATCACATGCTTTCACTTAAGGGCAGGGATTTGTGTTTTCGAGGACTGCTGGCTTGCATTTAGTGTTTGAATACCTTCAGTGATTAACGAAACTGTGTCTGACCTCAATTGTTTTTATTTTGCTCCTTCGTATCAAGAATTAGATTCAGTACCTGACTTGGTGAGCTTAAACCTCTATGTTTCTGTTCGTTTTCACGTTCACTCAGGGTTCACGCGTTGCCTGTCCTTGTATGTGAATGACCTGAGCAGCCAGGTCTAGTAGGTGAACTGCAAGCATGTCTCATAGCAAATGGAGCCCAAAGCACCATGGTGGTATCTGCTGTCATTAAAAACCACAGTCAAAGAAGGAATTGGTTCTGGTGTGCAATTTACAATTGGTCTCACAAGTCAGAGTGCACTTTAGGGCACCTCTGCCCTGGTCCTTCCACTGTCCCATTGAGCCTCAGCCGTTGTTCAGGGACAGAGAGGATGCAGTTTAACATACAGAAGACAGTCCACAGAGGGGGAGATTGCAAGTCAGAAGTTTTGTTCCAAAAATGCTGTTTATGCATTTCTCTTCTACTCATTGGACACAGCATTGAGTGGAGAAACCACACCCTGGGATTTTTTTTTCCAAAAGATTAAAAGGATTGGTTCATCTCCAGCACTCTATTGCTCTTTGGGCAGCACTGTATGATGAATTCATTTTAGTGTGAGTTCAGATGTTCCAGTCATGCCCAAGCATAGGTTATTTAAATTAGTAAGTTGACTTCCCATCACTTCCAGTGTTCTGTAGCATTCATAATACACAGCTGATAACTTCCTAGTTGAAAATAAAAGTTAAAGGGTTTGCTGACACTGTTAACAGAAATTACTGAGCTATAGAGGCATTCACTTAGCGATGACAGAGCAATCACATTGGTCTCTGGGTCACCAGCACTGCAGTTGGCCCTTATTCAATATAATAATTTCCTGAGCAGCAGACAGAACTGTCCTAATTAGGACAAGTGATTCTGTGGGATAAATTCCTAGAAGAGACAAGTGTTTCTCCTAGTGGGAAAATGTGTAATTCCTCAAGACGATACTCTTTGCAGGAGATTAAGTAGCTTTTTTAACTTGATGCATGTGGCTTCTTGGAAGTGGTTTGAACTAAACTGGAAAAAAAGCCTGCTACATCTCCAGAGAGACCATGGAAGGACATAGCTATTCCACCAAAGCTTGGCTGGCAGATTTTCCTGCATAAGACTCTGAAATCACACAAGTCATATATTACGTTCAAAAGCAAAGTGCATTTCTTGGCCCTTTCATAGTATAAACACAGCAGCCTGTACATGTAAGCAATAAGCTCCTGAAAAGGAGCATTTGATTTCCAGCTTAAGAAGAGACATGAGACACTTGTGACATTTAGGAGATCCCATAGATGTTACAGTGCTGAATATGATGATCCATAAATTGACATTTAAATTGACAGGCCTTTTAATTTATCAGGCATTTTCCATCAGGAGATAGTTCTTTCATTTCCCTCTTAATAAATGTACTATAGTAGGAATTACATAGTCACCTGCTTTACAGACTTGGGAAGTCTTAACAGCAGAAAGGTTTTCACCAGAGTATTTATGTGTGCTTTTCAAAGTGGCTTTTTTTTTTTTTAGATAATCTTCCTTAGCACATATATATACCTGGAATATGATGTCCTTTGGGGGAACAGATTCAGTTTCACAGCTGAAAAGAAAAAAATAGTTTCATATTTGAATTTGTCTTATACTCTCAAGGATGTGAGTGAGGCAAATGGGAATAAAAGACTAATTAAAAGAAATTTTGAGCATTTTCCCACATAGTCCCTACCTCATGATTTCTGTAGACATCTCTCCTGCCTGGGCAGTGGTTACTGGGAGCAGAGTGCTGCACTAGGCTGAGGTACTTGCTTGGTATTCGGTGTGCAGCACACCCCATCTACAGGCTATTAGGGAGAAACTGCTTTCCTTCAATTTCCTGAATAATCTGTGTTAAAAATGTCAAACAGAGCTGCAGAAAAAAGAGTAAGCTTACTTGGGTTGAGTTTGCTGTTGCATCTGAGGTCTAACTCAAAATACTTTATGGGTTTCATTACCTAAAAAAGGCATATTTCTCACATTTATTGACAGAGTAATACTTCATGTTAGCAGTGCTCCAGAAGGTCTTGTAATGGACTTGTCAGGAAACAAAGCACTGAGAAGCTTAGGGAGTAAAAACGGCATGAGGAGACTTCTGTCCATTTCCACATCACTGCTTGACACCCAGAAGTGTTACTGGCACCTGATTACCAGTTTTGATACTGTGTGCATTTTATCACTTTCTCTTTGGTTTATACTCATTTTTTCATCGTGATTGGAATGACTCTTCAAGAAGCCAGACATTGGGCTTTTCTTCCCCATTTACCATGCTTTTGTCACTGGTTGTACTGGTTCAGTGCAGGAAACAGAAAGCCTGAGTTCTATTCCAGGCACTGAGTCTGTGCAACAGTGTGATTTTCTCCATTCCATGCAACCTGTGTCTGAGCAAAGTAAGGCCATTCCCAAAAACAGGAAGGCTTGGAAAAGCATCTGGTGTCTTGACCCAGCATTGGAAGATAGTACAGCACAAAGCCTGACCTTTCCACCTAGCTTGATGAATAGTGGTCTCTCTTTTGCTGGTTTTCAGTTGTATGCCAGCAGCCTCAAATTAAGATTCCAGGCGGATCTTTACTGTTGCTTTTGTGCCTGTATATGTGAGAAGTCTGGTATTTCAGAGGTGGAAAATATCCAGCCCTCTCAGCCCATCCCAGTGAGCTGCTGAATAAAGCAAACAATATTCTGTTTATTTCCAGCTAATCCTTCCCTCCTTGATCATTTTCCTAATGGCTGTTTTGAGACAAAACACTGGTTTAGTATTTGGTCCAAATCTCAATCTTCCTTATTTATCATCCCATCTTAAATGTGTAATAACCCACCTCCTTTCCTCCTTGTTATCTTATATGGCTGATGTATTTCTACTGTTCAGGTTAATAGCTGTGTGCTGGGAGGTATTCTGTACCTGCTGAGAATACAGGAAAGCTGTATTCTCAGCTTTCCACTGGTCTCAGAGAGGTGAAGAGAACTTTTATAAATTCTGCATATAGCTTACCTTAGATGCACTCAGTGGAAAAGGTGACTCATTCTTTTCCTTTAAAAGAAACTATGTTTACCACCAGAGAACTAGGCTATATCTTCATAAAAAGCATCACCTAGACTCACATCAGTCGAGGTCTGGCTACACAGGTACATCTTGTGGCTCTTTCCAAGAGCAGCCTGATGGGCTCCCCAGCACCATACAGATTTTGGGCTGTGCTTTTCATGCTCAGCAGCACTCCTTCCATCTGTCATCTGCTGTTGACTCCATACCCATCCTTCTCAGGCATCCTGCTGAGGAGCATGTGTGCTGGTAAGGTTTACTGCATGGAAAGGGGTCATTTAGATGTGTTGCTGTGTATTCTACAGAGAAGGTGCTGTCCAAGAAAGAAGTACATTTTTATTTTAAAGCCAAAGATGATGTGGTTTCTGATGTTCTGCAGTTCCTAGGGGAGTTCATTCTGTGCTCATGGGTAAAGACTCTCTCCTGCACAGTCACTGCTTCCCAAAGCAAAGACTATCAAATCCAGTAGGAAGGCCCAGTACCACTCCTAATTTTTAGCACTAACAATTGTGCAATTACGTGTCTAATTCTTTGTTACACATGCTGATTTAGTGAAACCTTGCTGTCTGCAGTAGTATAACATTTATTCCCTCGTGTTCTGAATAAGACTAGAACATAAATTGAAGCTGTCAGGAAGCCTGAGTATTATATTTAATTTAGGGCTTTGCATACACATGCAGACAACCTGCATTTATCCAGCTGCCAGGATAGCCTTAAATATACTCTTCATCTAACAGTAATAGAGTTTGCTCCTTAAGAACCATTTCATTTTATAGCTTATTATTCCTTAAATTCTAGCAATATGCTAAACAAAATCTTAAGTCCCTATCTCCAAAAGTTTACAGTCTAGTGGCAAATCCATCAAAATATTTAAAGATTAAATTCCTTGATCTAAGTATCACCCTGAAGGAGCTGTAAAGTTGCAGTCCATAAACCTCATCACGCAATGTCCATTTCTAACTATTAGCACTGTGTACGATACACAAAAGTGTAATGGCAGATGATATCTTTATTTTGTTCAATGAAAATAAATCTACAGTGTCTACTGGGAGGGATGGGGGGTGAGGAAAAACCACTGCAACCTGCTGATAAGGATAAGAGACAATGCAATATTTTGTTCCATATTGTTCTTTTTCTCTTGTTCTTCTGTTGTTGCAACTGTAAAATCTTCAGGAGACACAGCTCGGGGTTGGTCCAAACCAGTGCAAAGCCTCCCTTTCTTTTCAGTGAGCTGTGTGATCATTGAGAAAACAGTATTCCTCAGTAGGATTATTTTAATTCAGCATGAGTTTGTTTCTTGAAAGAGGGGGATGGTTGTTTTTAGCAAAATAAGATGAAATAAACCCTGTCGCTTAATGTGACTAGACTGAAATCAGAGTATCTTACAATTTTAATTTTCCCTCCCTGCTTTTAGCTATGGATGAAGGAATATGCTCTGTCCGCTGTGATGCAAAAGCACCTGTCTGAAAAACACGAGAAGATAATTCAAGGTGTCATAAGCAGGCTAGGATGCCTCAGTGATGAGTAAGCATGGTTTTATCAGTAAGCAATGGGGTAAAACTCCACTACTGCATGCACAGATAAGATCTTCTGTACATTACACTGTGGAAAGCAGTGTTGAGGATTATGAGCATCTTCAGGCAGAGAGGCAGTTACTGTAGTATTATGTCTGAGTATCAAATACAAATTAAAAAAGCAGATATCATGACTTCTGGTAAGTAGAAGAAATAGCCTTCTGTAACTGTAAAGCAGTGAGCTTTCTCTGTATCTACTCCTGGGTGGGTGATTTCTTATCTTGAACCAGCCTCTCTTTGCACGCTGCATGTCACATTGGAGTTGGATAGTCTTCAAGATAAAATATTCAGTCCGGCAGCATTCAGCTCTACCTTTGCTTTCTGCCACAATAGCACTGACCATCACTTTGCATGATAATAATTCCTCTCTTGCTATCTGTAGCAAGGAAGCTGTTAGTTTTATCTCATCTTTGTACAGCTAAACATCTCTTCAGTAGAAGTGTTTCTCAAAACCCCCCACAATTGTGTGTTATCTACCTTGCTTTGATTAGGATATCAAATACCTTCATTTACCATGGTCTTCACATTACCAAAGATCAAAGTGTTTGAAGACTTGTCTATTTGGAATATCAGTATTATTGCCATTGCATTCCTTTATTTTGGCTCTACTTTTCAGTTAAACCTTACATTTTCACATTCTCTGACTTCAGTGTTTCCCAACATATATCTAAAGAGCTCACAATGTCTTATAACTTACACATATACACAAGTCAGATCAGGCACAATGTCATCCCAAATGTGCAAAGAGATTTCAGTCACCTGGTCCAGGATCAACCTCAAAATTTGCTCTCCTGTTTAGAATTCACCACAAACTTGCTTCAGCCATGTCTGCCCTGCCAGCTAACATTAGCCTCTTAGATGTCTCCTCAGAGCATGCCTCCTTGTTAATCCAAGATACGCTGTCCCTCATTTTCTTGAAATAACTTTCCTGTAGTTCTGATTACTTTCTCTTTTCATCTTATTTCAAGTATCCTACTAAAAAAAACTTACTGTAATTATAGATCATTATTTATCTATTTTCTTCCTATTTTTATTTTAATTTAACTTCAGTGTGACAGAACTAGAAGTCTGTCACAGCAATACTCATTCTTTACACCTGAGCAGCTTTCGAAGGCATGCTTTGTATGAGAAGACCTTATGCAGGGTGAATAGTAATTCCTGTGATCTTTAAGCAGTGACTTTGCTCAACACAGGCGTGCCAAATCACAAGCAGCTCAGCTGACTGATTTTTAATGGTCCTTTTTACAGGTCTGTTAACTATATATTGCAAAAACACCGACTTCTGCTGTGTTCAGTGCTCAGAAGGCTAACCCTCCGAAGGGTTGGAATGGCAGCCCTGGCCCGCATGAGACTGTCCAGAAAGAAGAGCTTGCTTCAGGAACTGAGACAGCAACATACTCTTCAGAAGGGATCCTCCCCCTGCCAAGATGAGGACCAGTGGCAGTTACAGAAGGCACTGGTAGGTACAGTGTCAGGGTGGATTTTCTCCAAAGTTCTCCCATGCTGTGATACCCGGCATTAGAAGTAGCTGTAGAAGATCTCAAAAATTAAAATGTTCGAGTTCCAAATAGAAAATAAAATACTATCTATCAAAAAGGCAAGAGCTGCTGGCATAGGAGGTCCCCAAGTGTGCCTGGTTTAGTTTGGGCAGAGGTATTCCATGACAACTGGCTAGCTATGTGATATATGTTATCTTGGCAAGCTTATTTAGCTGTTTATTTTATATGAAAATATTATTGAAAGAAGGCACGCCAATGTGTATAGAGGACTTCTACACAAGTTACTGCTTCAGGGTAAGATAAGCTCATATTTATTCTGCTAGGGTTCATAATACACAATTGAAAAGTTCTTCCTTGAGCATTGGAGAAATTCTTCCCTCCACCAGACCTAGCAAATATTTCTATGCTGTCATAATTTTTCATTCGTCTTTTTTAACTCCTCTGTCCATGAGTTGCTCAGCATCTGTTCCCTGACATCCTTCAAAATAACCTGACTCCTTCAGGTTAAGGAGATGATAGAAGAAAGTTTAAGGGATTTTTAGACTTGATATTCCACAGGTCGCTTTCAAATCTGCTTGCGATTATGTTTTTAAGGGTTAATCCATTAAGCGTTGTTGGTTATTTACTTACTGCATTGCAGATTTACCTAAAACAACACCAGATTTCAGATTTCAACCTCAGAGAACCTTCCTAGCAGGTGTCCGTGATAGCCCCTCTCCAGCCCACTGCTGCTGTACGTAGGGATTGAACTCATCCAGCAGCTTGCAGCTTTGTGCTGCATGCTGTCACTGTGTAATTAGCTGAGAGATAATATTTTGTGTCGACTAATCCTGATTTGTGTAATTTAAACCCTAGTTCTCCACTTGGCAAAGGAATAAGGAAATTCTGTCTGCTGCCGTTTTCGTATTTGGTACTTATATTGAAGTAGTTGCTGTTAAGTGTGAAAATCTCCAAACCTCATTAACCTTCAATAGAGATATAATGTAAAATAACAAAATACAAATACATATGACTGCATTCCTCTTGTTAAGTGCTTTCTACTACTCCCTCTCACTTAGCTCCCACAGGGATGTTAATTGATGCAATCACTGTGTTCCCTAACAAAACGAAATGTCCCCAGGTATTACCATTCCTTTGGCTTCTCTCCATTACAGCCTCTTTCCAAGGCTAGCTAAAACTCATCTCACAAGGAAGTGCCTAAAAGTACACCTAGAAGATCCTTGCTGCCAAAGAAGTAGGGCATAGGTGTGGAATTGTGAAAAGTCAGAGAGAAAAAAACTGTTACCAACAACCTCCAAAACTAGAAGCAATGTATATGGAGTTAAGAAAAAGGTTAATTTACAGACACTCAACCAGAGTTTAGATAAACCATGTTGTCTGCATTAAACATAATTTTAGCTTGTGCCAATTTTAGACTGGTAGACAGTGTCATGTCAATCTGTTGATTTCATTTAAAATGTAAAACAATACGAAAGAATCCTAGCTTGGACATAATAGCACAACATTGGGTCTCTGAAAAAAAAACAGAGAAATGGTTCAATGACATTCCAACTGTCTAAAAAACAAAACCTGACGAAAACATATCTGAGCTATAAATAAAGACTTGTCAAATTAACCCAGCATTAGTAGGGACATTATTATCTCCCACAGATGAAAGTGGGCAGAGCAGGTTCTTTTTCTACTTGTGTTTCTTATTTCCAAGAGGGAATCATAGGTACTAATATATTCCCCAGTATAATTTAATGTTATTTAGCCTTAAATGAGAATATTAGTATAAGAGGGACATCAGCAGCTCAACAGAAGGCAATCTATGGAAGACTAATACATGTAAGGAAGACAGAAGAGATGAAGCTGGGAGCACACTTTTGTGTGCTAAAGAGAGTTCAGAGGAAACATGGATATAAAAAGAAGCGTAGAAAATGGTGGCAAGGATGGTCCAAAGACAGTAAGAGACCGAAACTCTTCAGCCTAAAAAAGAGGCATCTTCTGGAATATCACAGGTTTTAAAACTGGTGTAAAATATGTCAATAGGGAAGAATTTTTCACTTTCTCATTTCTTGTTACTGATAAAAGAAGAAAGCACTGAGCAAAGCTACTAGATGGCAGGTTCAAAATTAAGTAGTGTGTAGTTAAGCTGTAGAACTCATCACCACGGGATGCTGTAGATGCCAAGAGTGCAAATGGTTTCTAAGTGCTATTAAACACATTCGTGACCTCTCCCAAGGACTGTGAGTACCAATAGACCAACTTTTTTTCAGCTAGACTGCACAAACTGTACATGTATTCCAGGTGCATAATTGTATACATGCCTTGTTCCTGTGCACTTTACTGAGGCATCCACAATTACCCCTTACTAGACTCAGGATATTTGACCTAGATTGTTCATATTTTTAATAGAAATAGGACCGAATTCAACAGTGCAGATGAGGAAGATGGGAATATATCACTTGGAAATGACTAATGGAACAGGATGCAGTTGTAATTGTCCTATCAGGATAGAAGCAATAGTTTTGTTGCAAAGACAGACAAATGTCTCAAACTACTGTAGGTAAACTTCTACTGGAAATGAGATTATTCTAAGCATTAAAACTCTAGCATTCTGGATTGGTGTAGGACTTTCTTTTAAAGTGAAAGTGACTATGTTTATCCACGTATTTAAACAGCAGTGCTCTCTTCTTGTCTGATTACCAGGAGTCCCACATTCTGGAAGAGGAGGAGAAGCTTGAAGAAGAAACACAGCAAACTCATTTAGAGTTTCACCAGCAGCTAGTCACAGAAATCCAAGAAGCTCTTCAATTTCTTCAGCAGCACATGGAGCAGGTGATTGGGCAGACATTGCTGCAGCATGCCCGTCGGGAAGCTAGAAAAAAGAGTTCAGATGATGGACAGGACTTCAAGGTATGGAAATGTTCAACAGCAGTTTTCCAAACAAAACAAGTGCTACTTTGCTAAATTGGAAAGCAATTTCATTTACTCATTACCCTGTACCGAAAAGTATCGGTAGGAGACCATTATAACCTGTGTTAAAACTGGAGATACCTTGCAAATTATATACAAACACTTAAGTAGTAGTACAGTTTTTTCTAGTGACTTGCTATAGCAGCCAAAACAGATTTTATTAAGCCAAGCCCTGGAATGTAAAAAAAATTGAGAGAGTTATTGATGACAGAAAGTAACAAAAATGAGGAAGAAATGGAGATGGTTATCTATTGATGAAGGTTTTATGTTTAATCAATAATACTTGTATATTAACATCTTAATATTAATTCATAGATAAATAATCAAAAATAAAATTTGCTTCATAAGTTAATAAACTTGTTCCAAAGTAAATATTTGGATTTTCTGTATAATGGGAAGTTGTAGTACTTTCACAGATATTGATTTACTTTGCTGGCAGTCAGGTTGATGGGTAAAATCAGATATAAAGATTGAACAGATTGAGGATGTTCCCTTCCTAGATGGAGGTGAGGCACGTTAGAAAGATTTTACTGTCATTTTTCATGTTGAAATGTTCGATGGATCAGTAGAAATAGCTGTTTTCCAGCATCTCAGTCTGCCACATTTTCAAAGCATGAAATACACAATTTTATGTGCACATGCAAAATTAGATGGGGTCTTTGTTTTTAGACAGATCAAAACACTTCAGTTTTGGACTTAGAAAATTAATTGTGACTTGTACTGTGTAATACAGGAGAGATTGGTGGAAGCTGCTGTAGAAAGTGTGTATGGGACCAGCAATAATATCAATAGACTGGTGCAAAACTACTATCAGGAATTAGGAAAAATCACAGAAGGCTATGAAGAGAAAAAGCTTCAACAATTGAAATCCTTACAAGGTATGTATGATATTGAGAACTATAACATAATTCTGTTTTTTCAAACAGATAAATTAATGTTCTTACCACTGTAGAAAGAGCACAAATCTATTATTTAAAGTAAGCAACAAAGCAAAATGGATGTGTAGGTCCACTTCCATCTTTGAAGGAGAAGCAGTAGAACTGTTTTTAGTAATAATTACTTGAAACACAGTCACAGATTCAGGACCCTGTTACTGAAAGTTGTTAGATACAGACACACACACAGAACAATGACCAGGTTTTGGAGGTTATAGTTTAACTACAAACTCTGGTTCACTGCCCTAAGATCGGAGATACCACCATAGTCACAACCATCAGCAGTTGATTTTCTGGTGCTTTAAACCTCAACACAGAGCAGAAGAATTTAGAAAGCAAAGAGCTGTACAAGTGTTAGATTGTACAGCCAGCATCAACCATAAACACTATTCAACTTTTATATTAATATATGCAAATAAAATTAATCAATCTAATATTCATGGGGGGAAAGAAAGGGTGTATGACAGGCACCTATGATCTTTTCCCTAGAAGGGGGGAGATCTGGTTTGCAGTCCCTGCTTCCATGTTAGAAAACATAAACATAATTGGCAGACAGTCTGCTTCCTCTGAGGTGATCACCCTCAGCTTTGTGCAGCAGAGTCTTCTATTTATTCCTTTTTTTGGCTCAGTTAAATGTTGTTGTCTCTCAAGCTGAGGAATCGCATTAGAGGACACACCAAAAAGCCAAGCATGTCTGTCCTGGAACACTCTGTGAGATACTTCATTGTTTCTTAGCTGTCAACCATAACCCTCTCACAGGTCTGAAGAGATTCACGAACTGCTGGATCTCACATAAATACAGGCAGTTTCTCTTGGAATTATTTTAAGTTGCTCAGTTCCTTTAGGAGAGGGGAACAAAAGCAAGCTGTGATTATTGATTTCTTTAGTAAACACTTTCCCTTCCCCAGGATATAAAGGCTGTTGGTGTTAAATGAAGTTAGCAAGTTAGCAAAATGGCAATAGCATCAGGGGCTAAGTATCTGAGGCGCATGGAATCTTGGGTTGTTTTTCATCTAAAACTAGAGTTAGTAATTTTAAGTAGAAAAGATTCTTTAACCAGAGAAAAGAGTTTTTGAAGAACAGGTGTACCCACTCAAGGATGAGGTCCAGAGATGTGTTGGTAGGAAAGATTTGTGAGTCCCAATAGTAGCTAGGTGTGCTCACTGGTTGTAAGATAGAACCAATCTGTTCTGTACTGCACTGTTGTGAATCTTGAAGACTTTAATATTGGAAGCTGAATTTGTAGGGTAAGGCAAAACCTGTGCAGGGATTTTTGACAATCTGTATTTTAGCATTGAGAGCTAGCAAGGCAGTCAGTTACTTGAGTTCTCACAAAGTCCTTCTAAAGAACTCTTTGGGCCTGACTACAGTGTCTAAATCCCATTGATTTGAGTTCCTTTAAGCAGGAATTAAAATTGAAACTGTGACTAGAATGCTTCTCTCATCTGAGCTGAGATGGATGTCATTACACACCGGTGTTGTGCTCCATCATTCTTTTAAGACTGCTCTCAACTGGTCTCCCAGTTAGGTTGTGAGTCTAGAATACTAGAACACTAGAACCACAGTCAGCTTTCTGGTGATTGCTCATTTAGATTATTTTTTTCTCCTATAGTTTGTGTGGATATATTATTGTTTCAGTGTATTGGTGTTCCATGAACTACAAGGAAGATAATAGCATGTGTAAGCAGAGCACATTTTCTTTTCAACTGAAGAAAAAGAAAATTAATCTGCTGCAATGTAAGCCTGCAGGCTTACAGGATGAGAGTACTTACGTTGGTAATAAAAGCAGGAGTGTTTTAGATTTGGGTGGCCAGAGAAACCCACCTGAAATTCAAAGATCAAACAAACTGCTACAGTGAAAAAATACTGCAGACCCACATGTACATACTGTAGCGCGGCTGAGATTTTCAGCATCAACAGATAACTACTTCAACTTTGTTGGTGCTTTTCACATTAGGAGTAAGCACTACTATCTAATAAGGGCCTTTGATGCTTTACTACATCTAAATCCTTTTTTAACCTAAGTAAGTCGAAATTTGTGATGTAGAGCCCCACTCCTTTCTCATTTCTGCTGCTGTGTTGGCCCCAGAAACACTTAAATTTCTCTCTGTGATTCTCAACAGCCTGGAGCTCTGCTCCAGGGCACAGCCAGGGCACTTTAAGTCCTGCCAGCCAGCCAGATGCTTTCCATCCAAGCTCAGCCAGGAGGCAGAACATCCATGTTTCTCCCTCTTCAGAAGGGGCTGATCTGCTAGGTGATCTCCAAGAGTGTGATCCTCATCACCAAGCACTCTCATAACTTCCCTCTCTAAAACACAAGATGGAAAGAACAATGTTGGCAATAGAGCCACAGTAGTGTATCAGTGACATAGTAGATGTGATAGCCCTGGTGTTAGAATGGCCACATAGGAAATTTCTAATGTACTTTATTCAGTCATAGCTAAGTGGGAGTTAAGACCATAATGCTAGGCTTCTCTCTCCCAGTGGCTGTGCTTAATGTCAGGCTAGAAGATTTTGCTTCTTTGGGCATCCTTTGACCTAGTAAATCTGAATTTGTGGTCTGTCTGGCACCATCACAGGAAAAAAGGTAGAAAATACCTCCCCTCTTCCAGCCAGCCCAAGCCAGCCCAGAGTACATTCAGTAACTGCTCCCTGATGTTGTCTTCGCTAGGAAAGGTGCCTGGTCAGCCTCTCTGAGTGTTTGGAAAAGGTTGAATACTCCCTAAATGAATGTTGTGTACCTTAATCTGTTACGTAGCTATCTACCCCCCTCCTTCTGTGTTTCATTTAAAAGCAGTGGTGCAAGGAAACTGGTCCTATCTGTGAGACATGCCCCAAGCCTTGCTGCCGGGCAGGACTTCAGGAGCAAGAGTCAGGAGCCTGGTCAGCAGACAAGCACCAAGTTACTTGCAGAGTGTGAGCGTATGACAAAGTATCCCAAATGCTTTACCATCAAATAAGGGGCTATCTAGTGAAGTTAGGCATTGCCAGGACTAAGTGGCCTCCAAGCGGAGGTTTTCTTATGTTGCATTTTTTCATTTAGGTATTACAGTTCTTGCTTAAGGCATCAAGGATTTTTCCTAAAATTTCTGCTTTGAATTCCATGTTTATCAGGTAACCTAGTAGGAGAAGTAGATAAGAACAGGAATTCAGTGATATCTCAGCTAAATGATGCACAAACTCTCTGTGCAATAGATCACAGTGGCAGAGCAAGAGTGTGTAAGAAGTACTCGATATCCTTAAGGAGCAGTAACTTTGAAAGACTACCTAGAACAGGGATTAATTTGTGCTGATGCAAAATGTAAGGTTGCCACAACTCAGTTTGTGATTTTGAGCAGAAGATTTTACAGAAAACATTATTTCAGCAGAAAGAAGTGAAAGGAACAGACTTAAGAAGAAACAAGCGAGTGAAATGGCATTGAAAGAAAAACAGACCAAAGGCCTCTTGAGCGTGTCATCCACAGTCCATCAAAGGTAAGAGCAGGCAGCAGCACTGCTGACTATTTAAATGTGAGTGTTTGCAGATCTGCATAAATGTCTAGCTGAATAAATGTCTTGGGTTTGCACTTTATATTTGTCTTTGATGGAAAACAAATATCTGTTGCCAAATTACATCTGCCCTTTGATCTTGAGAATTACTTTCTTATTAAATAAACTTTTTGATGCTCATTAATTACAAACTGAAGAACTATGCATAGACAGTTTGAAAAGAGAGAATGAAAACCAGTGCCAAAACATATGCCAAATTTTAAAAGAAATGTAACATAAATGTAAGATGGGAACCAATGCCGTCTAATTCATTGTGATCCATCCTTTCTGCTTTGAACATCAAAAGTGTTTGTTAGTTTGCTGTTGAGTAAACATCCACCATAATGAAGAGAAAATGTTTGAAGCATAAATAATACTCAGAATGGCAAAAAGATTTCAGTAAATGCCTTGGATAATCAAGATTACTTGCACTGAATTTAGAGTGGAATCCTTCAAATGTTAATTAAATAAAAATCATATTTAATTTATTTCTGATTTTATGAAACATAAAGTCCAGACAAAAAGCAGTGCAATTTCAAAGGAATAAGTTGTCATAAAAAGCTGTATGGCATGGCATGCACATCATACATTTTTGTAATCATTTTATTTATTTACTCTTGGTTTCTTACACAAAACAAACCACCAGCTGCAGTTTCGACATTGTAAAGAGGTTAATTCTTTTTTTAGACATTCTGTTACTTCTAAATTGAAACAAATCATTGCCCACTTTCTGGTTTTCATCCTTGTTTGCATTGGTATAGAGACGGATTCATGTAGTAAAGAGCTTCATAAAAGATCTGTTAGTTATTCATTATAAAATTTATCATTTATTCTGACATAGAAATTCACTTTCAGCTGTTGTCTCAGTTTTTTCTCCTGTAATCTATTATAGTGTCTTAAAACAAAATACAATGAAATTGACCTTCATGGAAGCAGAAGTATGGTATTGAAGAATGTAACTATTCAATATCTAAGCTGGTTTCATAACCATAATAGCAAACCCGTCTTCCTATTGTCATTATGATTTCTTTTACAGTCAAATCCCAGTCCTGTGTAAATTAGTGGCAAAATTTCCATTAATTTGTCTTCTATGAGACTTCACATTGTTTTATTTCCTTTAGCTCTTGGTGCAAGGTTATGAGTGTGAGTTCAAAAAGCAAATTTTGCAAGATAACCTTCTCTACGCACTGGCCAGTAGAATAGCAACTGCAGTATGTGTACATGTCAGAAACAATTTGTGTTATCTCCTTCCCTGAGGAATGTGATGGGTGATTGACAGCATTGCTTCAAGGTACATCAGGCAAGAGAACAGAAGAAATACAGATTCGGCAAAGTTGCAGCCATTCAGGTTCTACTGTTATTAATCTTTAAGCCGGAAAATAAACCAAGCAAAGAATATAGTTGTCAATATTCTCAACTGCCAGGTTTTGAATTACCATGTTTCTGGCTCATTCTCAGTCTGGTGCTGAAAAGCCCCAGATGAAATGCCTAGTTCTTAATCCCTTATCCTCAAACCTGATGATCTAACAGCTTGTCTCCTTGGCAAGTAGACAGTAAAGCTGGCTTTAGAAACATACAGTGGTTTTGAAAGCAGATTTGAAAACCATTAGAGCTGAACTCCAGCTCCCAAAGTCCAGGCATGGACAACCCAAACTCCTGCTGCAATTCCTACCTTCAAAAGGAGCTTCTATCCTATGGAGAGCCAAGTTATTAAAATAAGTAAATCTGTCTAAAAATCCAGTGCAGAAGCTCTATGGGCTGATATTGTTTATGAGCCTTTCTCCTTACAAAATCTTCTGAATACACTTTGCCAGGACTGTGTTCCTCACTTGAACTGAATATCAGTACTTACAAATTTCTCTTGACCAGGATGGTGTTACAGCAAAAGAAGGTTTTGGCTCAGTTTGAACAGCAGCAGCAAATTCGTTTGGAGTCTCTGAAACAGAAGCTGCTGGGATTGCATCACCTAGAAACTGAATTGGAGAATCAGCTAAAGGTAAATCAGGGTAAAATGTCTCATGGATCTGAAGCAGTCCATGGCAAAACATTAGGGGGGCTGTAAGGGTCTCTGCTGTCCTAGTTGAAATCAGGGCTGATTCACCACCGTCTTTTAGGAAATGCTTCCCTGATGGTAGCCATAGTGTTTCCTGTGTTTCTGCAATGACATACGCCTTTTTTTGACATGCCACATGTAGAATAACATAACCTAGAATCAAGCTGTGTTGTGTTAACTGACTTCCGGTTTATCCTTGTGTGCAGGAAGCAGAGCAGGACTTTGTGAGGGAGCTGGCTGTGTTGGCCCGAGTTCCAGTGGCTGTGAAGAAGAAGCCTTCCAAAAGGAGCAAGCCAGTAGGTTGGTACAATCCTGAACTGTTTAAAAAAGCCCCACTTCATTCCACATATTAGTGTGTATTTTGCAGTAAAACACAGTGGAGTTTCAGGAAAGATCTTTTGTCAGTGCCATAGCCCTAACTGGGTTGTAGAAAAGTAAGGCAACCCTGCAGGGTCACCCAGCTTGCTAGTAGCACAGCCACAAATAAGCGTCACCGTTCTTCACTCCTTTAGCCAGTAGATCACATTGTGTCCACTGAGATAAGGCTTTACCTTACTCAAATCAAACTTATTTTTTATGTGTGTTATCATGTTCTTTAGAAACAACTCTGTTCACCTCAATAACTCAGTCTTTGGGTGGAAAGCAGAGCTTAATCACTCAGCTTTCATCCTCCTATCTATCAGAATGGAAGAATCACCTTCGCACACACATGCTCAAAAGTAAAATCTTACTGAATCAGGAAACTTGAATTATTTATGTGAGTTTACTGCAGTTTTAACAGTTTAGACTCATTCATTATTAAAGAGATACTTAGGGACAAACTGTCGGCATAGCAGTTGTGTTTCCTGGTCCACGTTTGGGGTGGAGCACACAAATTCTCATCCTTTGAGCCCTGCAGTCCTTCTGTCATTAACAGAATGAAACATTTGGCATTACATTTGAAAGATGCTTAAAGGTGAGATGAGTGTCAGAAAGGGAAAAGCAGGTCAGTTGCCAGGATAACATTGAAATATCTGTCTCCAGTCATTTGTTCCTCAAGTGTGCAGAGCTGTTTGCCCTGGTAGGCACCATGTCCAGGGACACATAGGAACATAGCTGAAGGCCCTGAAACCGGTGACTTTTTAACATCAGATTGTTCTGATTCAAATCAAATAAAACTTTTCTTGTTTGCTGGTAGTAAAAAGCCATTTTCAATTACTTACTAAGAAAATATGTGACAGGGCTTTCAACGGTTGCACCTCATGGAAACTCAGTGCAGCAAGTATGAAAGGTCAAGGTCTGACCTGTGAGAACTAACCAATGCTAAAAACCCAATATGCTAGGCTAATGTGAAGTGGAATGATATGTCTGTATGAAGTGTTAGAGTATATTTTTTTGCTTTAGGTTAATCAAACCCAAACAAGCTCTACTATATGATTCTTGTTTCTTTCTTTGTTTTTTTAAATCCACATGCATTTGACAATTCAGGGGAAAAAACAAAAAGGAAGACCTTTCAGTCACCTGAATCAGTAGAAAAAGATGATTCTCATGAAAATACCCAAGAGCCCCCTGGACTGACTTCTGGCTTATACAGGTACAGTAGAGGCTAGAAATATGGTATACAAAAAAACCACCAAATCCAGCAGTATAAAATCTATTTCATAAGCAGAAATGTCAATCACACCCAAAATACAATGCCTGCACTAGCTGAGCTTCTTCCTTAATAGTTACTTCTCACATATACTTGACTCTTTTTTTCCCAATATTTTTTAAATTTAGGAAAATCATCTGAGTTGCTTGTCTCTGCTGCTTTGTATTTTATAAATAACTTTCATTTTAGGTAGAGAAATGAGAAATACTGTTTCCAGATTTCCTTTAATTAGGTTTTTTAAAACCTGAGTCACAGACAGCATAAATCAGCAGAGGCAAGTGAATCCAGTGGAACTAGGCTGACATGTAGCAACCAAAATATGGTCTGTGGTATTTAGGCTTTCAACTTCCACCTTTATTTCAGGAACAAAGGCAAGCGCCAGTCTTTGGCTGATGAGGGTAGCAGCTCTAACAATGATTTTCTTGATAGATGTTTCAGTTGGCTTATGCTGGGGTGCTAACTAGAGGAGAAGAAATGGCTACAAACCTGAAAGATGCCAGCTGATTATTATGGGCAGATCAAACCAGCCAGCTGGTCACTGGGGCTTGATATATTGAGCAGAGAAAATCCTGTTGACAGGCAAAGCAAACAGTTGGTTCTCAGGAGCCACAGGCCTTTGGGGAAAAGTATTTATCCCCTGAGTGACCTCAGCCTGCGACTGACTTCAGAAGATGGCTCCTTTCCCTGATGGCATCAACCCTTTTCACACACTCCTTTCCCACAGCCAACAAGGGATACATGTGTGGGGAACAGGGACCCAACAAAGGAACATTTATCTTTATGCATCTTTGTTTTGGCAGCCTCAGCAGAGGCAGCTGAACACGGCGAGTGCAGAAGTTGTAGAAGAAACACCTTGCTTCTCTTATCAAAATTAATTTAATTTGAGAGAGAATTTTAAAAACTCTGTCTACAGTTTTATTTTTATTTATTTCTTTCAGAGAGAGGTTACAGAGTCCACATGAAAGTGAGCCCGAACCAAGGAAAAACTCCAAGATGCTAAAAAAAAGAGGCAACAGGTAGTAAGAGCATTTATATGAGCTGTCTGAACACAGAGTACCAAAGCATTCTTCTGGGGAACATCAGCAGCTATAAATACTTACTGAGATGCTTTACTGAGAAACAATGAAGAACATCAATAATAACCGAGAAATCTTCTTTAGCTACAGACCAAGAATCAATCCCGACTTCCTTTAGCTGTTAATAGAACATTCCCATTGGTTTTGTTAAGGGGAAACAAGGAAGTCTTTAATGAGCTCTTCCAGATAGCTTGGGGAATGTGAAGGGGAGATAGTTTTAGATTAGAAATATAACCGAGGAAAGTATGCTTGTACAAGAGCATATCCACACTAGGCTGGTTGCCCAGGTTGGTGTATCTCCATAAGGTTTCATTACAGTTGTGAAGTACCATTTGCTTTTGTAAATTGGATCTTAATACTTTATGATTGCTGCTTTGGACTAACAAAAGTAGATAGAAATGCAAAGAATACGTAAACAGACTTCAGATGGCATTGGTATGTCTGAAGATTAGATTCCTTCTCACTTTGGTCATGTTTTAGTGCTTCCGAAGCTATGTATACTTTTTAAAACCTGTACAGAGATTTTTATAAATGTATTTTTCTGCGTTTGTCTCAGATTTCAAATTACTATTTTTAGGAAGAATGAGACAAAACGAGGTTACTGTTTTGCTTTTTATACTTCAGTTTCTAGTCTTCTAGTACACTGTTTTGTTTCCAGCATACTTTGTTATGCTCATTACATTTCCTATGGGAATTCTTCTTCTTATGCAAAGCAGCTAGTTCTTACTGGCTGTACAGAGCACCTGTATTGTGCAATAAATTGCTCCTCGTACTTCAGCAATCTTACAGCTTTCATGAAATGAAAATTTCCTGCCTTTTTAAAATGAACATATGTTTTGCTAATGAAAAGACTGTACTTTGGTGTATGATGGAAAGTACTACAGAAATACTGCATCAGTTCTGCAGTGTACCTCAGACCAAAGTCCACCACATGAATTACTTTGCCAGTCATGTTACACACAATTGTTAAATGGTTAATTTTCACCTCAGTCACTTAAATAAAAAACTAAGTTTGTTTTCTAAATTGTACCTCTTCAAGCATTTGATTCTGTTTTTTCTGTACTTGGACTCTGTGGTGTCTCTGCCTTCCTGAGCTGGACATTTTAGTTGCTGCTCGTTGTGCCTTTCTTAAAACAGATGCCGGCTATTTGCCTTTCTTTGAACATCTTAATTCTGCAGGGTGCTCTATACAGATGGCAAGCTTTGAATGCTAGAGTTGATGATTTAAACCACACAGTGCAGCAGCAGCTCCCATCACAGTTAGGATGCTGCATAATCACCCAAACAGGGTCTCTAATCACACGGGGGTCTGTAATTACCCAAGCCAGGCCTTTAATCACCCGAGCAGGGTCTCTGATTACAGAAGCCGGGTCTCTAATCACACGAGGTCTTCCCGGATGCACTATGATGCCTTCGGCTAGGCAGGGCTGAAATGGCTTTTCCTCGCCGTTAGAAAACGTGGAAAGGGTTCACGTTCTCCCAAAAGCAGGGCAGCAGTGCCCTCTCCCGGACAGCTGGCGCCGTTTCCATCCTATTGCTGGTGAAGGTGACAGGCGGGGAGCACCGGGAAGAAGCCAGGGAGGGTGTGAGTCTCCCTGTGTCTGGGTGCAGACACTCCCCTGCCGACATCCCTGGACTGGAGGTTCTACGAGCAGACGTGTGTTCTCCCACAATCTCGTCAGCTTGCTGGTGAAACGCTGCTCTTGCCCTTGTTACTGAATTCTCAGTCTCCGTGAGTTACTCCATGGATTCACTGTCCTGTTTAAAGTCATGTGCAGATTTCATATGGCACTTGCCATCACGCCCCATCAGTGAAGCAGGTATTGAACAAGGCAGAGTTTCATTAGAAAAAAGCATAGCAAATGCCAAGCTAAGCTCACAACAGTTGCTCTTCATTTAAACACTGTTCAACTTTTATGGTACAGAATCACAGATTCATTTAGGCTGGAAAAGACCTTTGAGAGCGAGTCCAGCTGTAAACCTAACACTGCCCTAAACCATGTCCCTAAGTGCCACTTCTATATGTCTTTTAAATTCCTCCAAGGAGGGTGACTCTACTACTTCCCTGGGCAGCCTTTCCAGTGCTTGACAACTCTTTCGGTGAAGAAGTTTTTCCTAATATCCAACCTTAACCATATCCAACTTTAACCATAGCAAGAGTCAGTTTCTGTATCCTGATGTCTCTCCCATCTCCTGACAGTCATTACAAAGTGGTTTTTTTTTTTTTACTACCTCAGGCCTCTCAGTTTACTCTAGATTCATGTGAATGCTTATTTCTGAACCAACACAGGACAATACAGAGACCAGGATTTTTTCTTGCTGCTATGAAGCCAAACAAGCACAGCTTATTGTAATAGTCACAAGTTTCAGCAAAGACATTCCATCAGGAATTAAAAATTCTTTGCCAATGAAATAGGTGAATCACTGGAACAGGTAGTTGGGAGAGTGCAGAACATCCATCCTTGGAGACTCAGCTGAACAATATCCTGATCAACCTAAGTTTGAGGTTAGCCCTGCTTTGAGCAGGAGCCTGGACTCCAGCTGATACCTCTTCCAAGCTAAATCTTTCCATGATTCTAAAATCCTTCCTACTGATGTGTTACCAGAATGTTTGGTGCTTCCCTCCCACCACCTCCTTTGTATCTTCCCTGTGTTTTAAGGGATGGTAGAAGTTGCTGCGAGCCAGGGACTGTGGCTAGAGGGTTCCTGGGAGAGAAACTGCTCAGCCGTTTTGCCGAGAGCAGTCTGCAGCAGTGGATGTCAGATGGGAGGGAAATGGGATACCTAGGTGCCTGTCATAGCTCAAAACGCTTTATAATGTAAATCTTTTGTTTATGCTGGAGAGTCTAACAAGGAGCTTTGATCGTGCTTTACAGGTACCTATCAAAAACACTTGCTGCAGAAATTCAGGGGGAAAATGACATGCCTTTTTTCTCCATTTTTTTAACATCAAGAGTAACAATTATTACAACAGTTTATGATCGTGCTCAACCTCATTCACAGCTGTATGACAAGGGTGTATCTCAAATTCTAGGCACGGTGTTAGAGTTGTTCAGTGCATTGTATATCATACAAGAATCAAAACAGGCCACAATGGTCCCTCTGCTATAGAAAAACGTGGAAAGCCTCTTTGTGCAGAAGTCCTGTTCAGTATTCCTCTGCAATATGAGTAGTTTGATTCCTGATGTGTACAAGCATTCCTAAGTCAAGTCGCACATAAGGGTCCTAAGCATCTTCAGTCTCTCCATCAAGGCACCTCCAAGAGTCTTCTGTTGAACGTGCTGTCTGGAACTGCTGCTGCACTGGGAGGGCTCCTGCTCTCAGCTCCCTCACCACTGCTGCACTGCAGAGCATCAGGAGAGGGGACAAGGGTCTGGACCCTGCCCACTGAAGACTTTCAGAAGCAGCATTGCAATTGCTGATGTGTTCACAGGTTGGCTTATTTTCAGTTGTGAGGAAGAAGCAGCTAAGCTTAAAGCTTTTTAAAGCATTATATATGACTATATATTTAAAGGTAGCATCTAGGACAGCTACCTGTGCTGTGTTAGTACAGCTACTAGTACATTTCTGGTACAACTCAGTGCTAGAAAATCACAGAATACGCAATCAGGGAGAAGGGCTGAGACCTTTTACCCATATCACTGCAAATGCTTCACAAGTTACATGAGACTCAAAGCAGCATCCCAGACTTTGCATTTTTACTGCATTGTAAGACATTATTCTCTCTCCTATATCTAATTTGCTTTCATCTCCTATATACAATTTATATGCAATTGAATACCCCTCACTGTCATCACTGAAATACATCTGGAAAGCTTGTACCAATTTCACCACAGTCATGATGAAAGAAATCAGTTTGTTTAGATCACTGAGATTTAATGCTGGCCAGGTCTACATGGCAAGAATTAACTGGTGCCAAGTAGACCATCTTAACGCTTTGTCATTGTGCATTAATCTGTGCAACTCCTTGATCCTGGAAGCCATAAATGCCAAGACTTTACCTCGGTTTAAAAGCACCACGGCAAATTCATGGCAGAAGAATTCACTGACAGCTACAGAGTATAAAGCTGCTGCTGCTTCTCAAGATATCACAAGGTACTGGAAATGAGGGAAACAGAGGAATATTAGCGGTATATGTTTGTTCTTTTCTTCTGGTCTCCCCTAAGCTTATGTTGTTGGCTAGTGAAACCTGTAGTAGATGGTCATCTGACCCATGCCTTGTTAGTTCTTAAGGATGAAGATCAGTGTGTTGCCAAGAGAAACATTTAATGGCTGGGACAGCAGTTAATTCTGGTACACTCTTAGCATCGTAATTGACAGGCTTTGCTACAAATGCTAAAATTCAAACCTATAACTGTGTTGTTCTGGTAGCAGACAAACCGCAACACAAGACAAACTGGTCCAAACTATCACTCAGGAAACAATCCAGCCTTCTCATCCACATCACTTGATTGACAGATGGTCCTCAGACTCATCATAGGGACTAATTTTAAGGGCTCTGCAAACAGCAACAGGGAAGATCCAGTGTTAGAACATTAGGGCAATGTCAGGCTTATATTCTGCAAAGTTTTAGAAGTTTGTCAATTCAAAACCAAGAAGTTTGTCAATTCAAAAAACATGGAAGCTTTGCATTGCTTTCGTCTTGTGGTTGACAGAACAGCAGCTCCTGACCCTTAAGTTCAGAAACTGACCATCTCCTAGCTTGGTGCTGCTACAAAGGGGCAAACTGAAGCAGTTTCCTTTCTGCAGATGTATTCAGGATCACCAGTTAATCCACATTTTATTTACTGTTGCTGTTTTATTTCTTCAAGGACAGGTTAGCAATATAGGAGCAGGGGCATTGCTGTGAAATAGGTGGTAAGAGAAGCTCCACTTCCCTCACTTTGTTTAACCCCTCCATGAGCAAAGGCACGTGCTATCTCTCTGACAGTGTTTCACAGTAACCATCCAAGTGAGGAATCCTTCACCTCACCTGGTGACCATGCAGTAAGATACCTGTGCTCCAAAACAAAATCACATCCAGGTAGCATTGCATGTCCATGTGGAGAGACCCAGGAAGAGCACAGGATCCATGGGCTTCATGCAGGCTGTCCCCCAGCAGCAGCATACCAGCAGCACTCAGGCTGGAAGGGCTTCTGAACATCATGGACGTGTCAGTGTATTTCTCCTTGGGGTAATCATAGCAGTTACACTGACCTGACAAGCAGTCTTGTTCGTACATAAGCACTGAACCATGAAGTGCCTCACAAACACCCACACCTATTTATTCACAGACACTTCACTGTGAAAGAATAAACGCGTGTTAACAACAGTGGATCTTGACCAGCTTGTAAGGCAAAGGGTTCTTTGCTTTAGGGTACTCTTTAGCGCATAGGAAAAGTAGAATCTCTCAATACTAGTTACACAATGATTATTCTGCCACCTCAAGTGTGACAAGCCTCATTGATGGAGCAGAAGTTTTACTCAGACCAACCATTGCTACTTGCACAAACACACCAGAAAAACCCTAAGGAAATTGTAACCAGCAGTTCCAGAATTTTCATACCATGTCAAATTAATTTGCTGCATAGCTTCACAAATCACCCTTATTTCTATTGTCAGGGTTAGCCTACCAGAACTGTTGCTGGGTCTGTCAATGCTCATAGCAAATGAGTTGGAATAGGAGATGAAGACTTGGCTTACCTGCTAGGCTGTGGGTTATTCCAGGTCAGGTTGTCTTCAGGCTTCTCTGCTAGCAGTATTTTACTTCATGTAAAATACCTGCACCACCAACATGAGCAGGCAAGCCTAGGGATGAGGGCACTCTCCAGACAATAGGCAACAGGCAACGTTAATGTGAATCCTTAGCAGATGGGATTTTTCATGGAAAGTTTTATTTTTCTCTTCTTTTGGGAACAATAATTCAGTTCACTGCAGGCTGAAGTGCAGTGTTCCTTCACTGTTTCAGGCAAAGCAAAAGCTGGCTGTTCAGACCAGCTCTGCTGCCAGGTTTTCACACCAAGCTGACTGAAGCGGAGCTTTCCAGGGTAGCAGTTCATTTCCTGGGCAAGCTGGAGGTGACAGCATACTGGCTTCAGAATAAGATGACAGGTTTCAGGTAGGCTACTTTCCAAACTTTAAATGGTAATTGATTGCATTCTGTACTACAGGTGAAGATGATGGCAACCAACTACCATTTCAAGCAAATCAGCTGCAGGCCTGAAGGTCTTGGGAGAAAGCTCATTTAGGTCTCATTTGGCCAAAAGTGACACAGCTGCAGTGTCGATAGTGAGAACATTTTTACTCTGAGCTCTATTTAATGAGGACAAATTATGGCATGCCATAGTATGCATATGCAGACACGTGTATATATACATATTTAACACTCCCTGTGATCAAAGGAGGTTTCTTTGTTCACATTATGTCAACCTAAAAGACAACTTTTCTTAAGTTTCTCCATTCTGTGTTTTCAGTCATTGAGCAACAGCACTGGAAAGCAGAGGAAGACACTTACCCATCAATTCATTTCCTTTATTTCACAAGCTTTGAATTCAGAAATTGAACCACGACTAGTAGATCTTGATACGGTAGAGTAAGTAAAAATGCATGTGATTACAAAGGAAAAACTTTGTACAAAAAACTTTAAAAATCCGACGGCAACTTGGATTATCTGTAAGTACCAAAAATCTCATGCAGAAGGAGAGCACTACTGCCCAGGTGGAGATATCCCTGCAGGGGTGGCAATGGCATTGGTGTGTGTAAATCATGGCTCTGTCTAAAATGGAGACAAGAAGGACACAGACTTGGAACGTACCGAGTGGGAACAGACAAGTGCTACAGAGACCATTTGTCATTACGTGTCCCGATGATGTTCTGTGTCTGAGAAGTGCTTCTTGGATTTATAATAAATTAAAGATGAAACAGAAGCTGCCTACACTACTCTACTGCATACTTTCAAGATGGCCATTTTCTTCCTTCAGAAGTGTTTTTGGTGACGTTTCTCAAATACGGACATTAGTCTTGGCATTGTGTCTAGTCAATTATTGGCAACGTGTTCTAAAGGGACTCACTCACAGAATGCAACTTGCATAAATAACTCAGTAACATGCATTAACTACTCTAATACAGCGAAAGGGTGCAAAGAAACCATCATTCAGTTACGAGACGAAGCTAAAACCTGTAGTCACTAAAGGAGCAATGGAAGCACCATGCTTTAAGGTGACTATGGCATGAAAGCACAATTGTGAGGCAAGTAGTTCCAAGCAAACACACCACACTATTTTCACCTCTTCCTATACAAAAAAAAAAAAAAAAAAAAAAAAAAGAACGACATTTCAATTTTTATTTCCATTAGTACCAAATAAAACTGTGGGTTTGATAACACAGATATTGAAGGGAACAGACATTATTCCCATGATCCTTCATCCTCGTGTTTCTGTCCATCATTTTTCAGCCAAGACTGGTAATATTAGAGCGACCACCAGGAGGTGCCACGATGCGGTGGCCAGTGCGGCGTGGGTTGTTGTCATCTACCTGAGCTCCTGCAACCACAGAAAATGAGGAGACAAAGCTATGAAAAGGAACAAACCGTGAGCAGTGAGATTTTACCTGTCGAGTTCCAGCTATGCTTCCCTCACACCACCACCAGCTGGTTTGTCTTGATCCAGATCCCTGACTGAAGTGCTACACAGACCTTCAAGGCACATTTCTGTTCTTAGCTCCAGTTGTCTCTAATGAGAAGTATAGGATGAAGTGTTTAGGAACAGACTGATGCTCACCCCACATGGGGAATTGTTTTCCACCGACCTGAAGAAGAGCCCATGCAGGGATGACACCCTACAGACTGGATTCCCTTTGCAAGATCAAACCCTGATAGAAAATACTGTTGTAACTACAAAAATCCCCAAAACCATATATGTGCAAAGTGGAGTTTTCAGACCTGCCTCACTGTTTTAGAATACTTGTCCCCACTGAGTCCATGAGTAAACAGTGCAGTAAATCTGGTGTTAGCAATCATAAATCCATGAGGAAAGGAGCACTGAGCTGTTGCAAACTCACCCACTTCAAACTGCATTTTAAAATGTTGAAAGGACAAGCTTAAGGTGACAGCAAGCTTTCTACCAAGCTAAATATCGTCTGATCACACTCAGCAATGTAAAAGTACCATAAAAGTGTAGATTCATTTTAAATGTTACTGTAGTCTGAGGTTCTGCTTCATTTCATAACAATACAGTAATGTGCATTTAATTTGGATCAAATTCATGCCACTAGATGCCCTGGTAGTACTGAGAGCCAGCACTGGACTGTGAAACCAAAGCGTCAGATGTTCATGAAAATCCTATATATCGGTGATTATTATCAGAGGTTAAATTTCTAAGCAGTTTTTTTTCTTTATATAGCTTCACATCTCTGTATATGCTCACAATGGCCCCAAGTGTATGGGCAAAAATATACTTCAGCTCACTAAAAGGGTTTTTAAAATATTTGCTCTCCTTGGGCTTTCTTCCAGAAGTTCCATTTAGTTTCTAAAGACAGGATTTGTCAGGGAGAAAAACACTATTGGCTCCCACAGGGGAGAAAATCTAATGACTTTCCTAACACCTTAAGAAGCTACTTATTTACCAATTGGGCTGTAGACTTTTGAAGGATAAACATTTGACACACTTGTAATTGTCTTCAGATGACAAGAATTATTTCCAGCAAGCCCAAAGGATGATTTTCCAGTCTGTTTCCTGGGTACCATGGAAAATGTTTTGGGCACCAAGAGCAAAGAGGACAAGAAATACTCTAATTTGCATATGAATGGCTTCTGCACATGGTTTGCTGACTATGGACAAGGACGGTTGAGGTTTCCACATCCAGCAGTTTCTGGTGATGCAGCAAGAAAGAAAACAGGTGTCTGAGCCACTTGGGTTGCACAAGACCCAAGTCCCACCAGCAGTACTTAACACCAAAGGGGCCTCAGTCACATCAACCAGAGACCTCAACTAACTGTAGTGGACCAGCTAAATAATATTAAAAGACTGCATGCAGAGAAATAATTTAGATTGCAAACATTTTGAATATCTAGCAATTTGTAAAATATTCCTAGGGAAAAAAAGCATATATATATGTACACATATTTAGGTAAGTAAATGCATGTATGTGTATATATATAATACTTTCATATCTGATTGAAGAAGTAATTATACTTGAAATTCATCACCAATAATCCATACTCATAGCTTTCAAATATTCCTGATGAGTCAGACTGACTTACCTGATAAGCTAAAATTGGATTGATGGAGGTTTCTGATTGGTGGGGGCTGGTTTTTGGCAGGGGAGCATTTAGTTGAAGGTGCAGGAGTTGCATATTTTGGCGTAGCTGGGATTTCATACACAGGCCCATCATACATTCCTCTGGAGACTCCTTGCAGTCCTCCCACCTAGATCAAGAGGAGGATAAAAAAAAAATCCCAGATACTGAATGCTCTGATAACGCTCCCTAGTGAGCACAGACCTATATTCTGAATTAACACACATATATACCCTCGTCAAGGCTACAGTCTGCTTCATATATAAAGGAAATTACAAACCTTCCTCTCTCCATTTATATACATATCTCTCTCTAAGTTATAAGAGAGAGATCCTTATTAGTCTCTTTTTACAGTCAGTGGGGAGAAATGGGATTCAAAATAACAGCAGGGGCTGACCCAAGATGTTTATTTTAACTAAGACCAGTCACCATCACCTCTCTCCATTCAGAGAAGAGAATGGCTCTTAAGCAAGGTTGGTTCAGCTGCTG